AACCAAAATGAGTGACTGAGGCAAGAATCTCAATCAATCAAGATTTATTAAGCCAGCTTTAAGATGTGTCCAGGAAAAATGCAAACCACAAACGCATCTGTGGCTGTTTTTTCCAAAGAAGTTTTCAGGAGGTTTAGTATTTATACATTTCCTTAAAGGGCAGAAGGTATCTAGGAAGGGGGCAGGTAGACAGAGCAATGATTGATCTCATCTTGTCTTTGCTCTGCACCTGGGAAGATAGGCTTGTAATTGACATTATCAGTGTGGAATCAAACAGATTTTAGGAGCTAGATTTAGTTTGCAGACCTAAAGTTACAATTGGCATGTCCTTGTTTAGGCCAGCAAAGAATTTACTTAAGCATAGTTTGTGGAGACAGTCATCTGGAGATGCCTGAGGGTATTTGCCTTTCCGTAGGAGTCTGACTAATGTACAATGCTTTGACACAAGGTCGTGAAGTAACAACCATTCATCTGGAAGAGGGTGTTGCCATGAGTCAGCCTGCAGGTTTAACTTTCCCCTTGGCATAAGGAATTTGGGGGTCCTGAAAATTTTTATTTTCCTGTACAGATCCTTCAAAGGTAAAGGCAAATTGTTTCTGATAGATTGTTAAAACAATGCATTGAATAGAACATATTAGCCAAATTTATAAGCAGTAATTTTAGAGATATGTATCTTAATGGTGAAGTGCCATTCATTTATATCATGTTTGAGCACTGGCCAAACTGAATTATTAAAAGGAGAGACAATAGGAACAATGACTAGGCCAGGCATACCCATCCTCAGGGAGTCTCATTCCATTACTCTAAACTTCTCCTCCTTCATGGCTGTGGCAGATTCTCTCATGGAACCTTTATCTTAATGGTCTCTCAGGAGCCTCTCTTCTCAGCCACATGTTTACAGTTTGTTCTCAAAGTTGACAACAATTGAGATTCATTAGTACCTTTTGAACTTGGGTCCACAGGGCATCTTTAGCTTCTTCAGAAAATTGCTCCCTATGTGCCTGCTCTAAAAAGAGCAGATAAATCCTGGGTCACTCCAACTAACATAGAAACTGCAAAGAAGCCTATAACCTGCCTTCTAAGGACTTCAACGCAGTATCTCTTAGAACAGAAATATTAAGGAATTTTCAGACTATCAAAGTCCTTTCTTCTAGTTTTATAACTGTAGGAGGTTGTTTCTCTTTTTTTATTACACATGTGAAGGACTGTATCTATTAGGAACTGTGATTTGATTCTGGCTTGGATTCTTAGAATGGAAGATAATATACATCTTTCTTAGTTATGTCTCACGTACTTGGATACTCCCATTAAGAGAAGGGTAGAATATGGATGAGAAGCCAATAGAAAACATGATAAATTTTATACTACTCAGACTCACATTGTACATCTCATCTTTGCTTTACCTCTTAGGAACAACAAAGTGAACAGCTCACTACAGTCATTCAGATTGTCAAAGGTATGAGCATTACACATTTTTTAAGTGACTGATATTATCATTCTATAAATGTGAATCATGAAATCAATCATGAAAATCTGGAAGAAAATGCAATACTTGTCAAAGACAACAGGTTAGTATAAACAGGGAAGGGTGGGTTGTAGGAAATCCAGGTCAATATTTAACATCACCTAGTACCTCCAGAAGCTGTATGGGAAAATAGTAAGATTGACAAGAATTCTTATAATAACAGGATTTTTCTAATCCATATGCATGTGAATTAGAGGGGCCCCTTTATATCATCTTTGCTTCTTACTCATAAAAATCTAAGGATGCACACAGAATACCACCACCAAATTTTCCTTCCCTGGGAATTACCAATTCATCTACAAACAACTCGTATTGTCAAAAACATGGATGTCTCTCTTCCTGGTTTCTATATGCCAAGAACGGAGAACAGGAAAGTTTGGGTCATGATGAACTGTCATCCTTAGTTGCCATTGAAGACTCTAAGACTTTGAGCAAAATCCATTCTGTGATGCTGCCTATAGATCTCTCAAGATTTCTATTCTCAGATATATATTTTAAATCAATGCCTGTAAACTCTGAATGTAGCAGAGAAACATACAAGAAAATGCTAATTAATGTGACTTATTGATGCCTGAGCCTTACTCATGAAGAAGAAAAGCCTTACAATATAAAATGAGATGATCTTCAGCATTGTCTGTGTGGAGAAATTCCTACTTGTTTCTGAAACAAGGAAGTCAGAGATTAGGACAGTAATGGAGATGAGGATCTATAGCAGATATCCAGTGAAGCATCAGATAATTCAGGAAAAGGAAAGAAAGAAACACGAAAGCACAGAAAATAGATTCAGGTAGAGAGATTTCTACCAAGAGCACAGAAGTAGGAGAGATTAATAGAGTCAGGGGAAAGTGGTTTAAATGTGAAAATTTCATAAACACTTTAAGAAGAAAGAATAGTTCAAAAACTTATTCTTCTGAAAAAAAATGTGAGAAGTTATTCCATAATACATTTTGTTAAATGCCCAGGAATATGCCCAGGAACTTACGAAATGAAAACGACTCTAGCAATAAGGTCGCTTACATAGAAGATATGGGGTTTCCATGGAGCCCAGTGCAGTCCACTGGGATACTGGTTTGGGCCAATTGGATGGTGAGTAATGAATGACCTGATTCTGTTGGTTAAAATCAGCTTTATCTCTTCTACTCTGAGAAACTCTTCAGTTTTCATCATTCTCACTGTTTCCCTTTAGATCAACTGAAGATCAACAATGAAAAACAGAACCATGTTTAGTGAGTTTATTCTATTAGGCCTCACAAATCAACCTGAACTCCAAGCAGTAATATTCCTCTTTCTGTTCCTCACCTACATGCTAAGTGTCCTAGGAAATCTGACTATCATCACCCTCACCTTACTAGACCCCCACCTCCAGACTCCCATGTATTTCTTCCTCCGGAATTTCTCCTTTTTAGAAATTTCCTTCACATCCATTTTTATTCCCAGATTTCTGACCAGCATGACAACAGGAAATAAAGTCATCAGCTTTGCTGGATGCTTGGCTCAATATTTCTTCGCTATATTTCTCGGGGCAACAGAGTTTTACCTCCTGGCCTCCATGTCCTATGATCGCTATGTCGCCATCTGCAAACCCTTGCATTACCTGACCATTATGAGCAGCAGAGTCTGTATACAACTTGTGTTCTGCTCCTGGCTGGGAGGATTCTTAGCTATCTTACCTCCAATCATCCTAATGAGCCAGGTAGATTTCTGTGCCTCCAATATACTGAATCACTATTACTGCGACTATGGGCCTCTCATGGAGCTTGCCTGCTCAGACACAAGCTTCTTAGAAGTGATGGTCATACTCTTGGCTGTTGTGACTCTAGTGGTTACTCTGGTGTTCGTGACACTATCTTACACATACATTATCAGGACCATTCTCAGGATCCCTTCTGCCCAGCAAAGGACAAAGGCTTTTTCCACCTGCTCCTCCCACATGATTGTCATCTCCCTCTCTTATGGCAGCTGTATGTTTATGTACATTAATCCTTCTGCAAAAGAAGGAGGTGCTTTCAACAAAGGGATAGCGATACTCATTACTTCAGTTACACCCTTGTTGAACCCCTTCATTTATACTCTAAGAAATCATCAAGTGAAGCAAGCTTTCAAGGATGCCATCAAGAAGATTGTGAAATCTTAAAAAAACAGAATACATTTCAACAAAAAATATATATATTTTCACTTAACAAATATGCATTAAGTGTCTATATGTCAAGCTCTTAAGTGTCCCTGGAGGATAAAAATTGAAAAGTATATGTCCTAATTTCAAGAAATCTATAGTCCAGAGTGAAAGAAAGGTATATAAACTGTATATTTATATGATAAATTTATAAATGATAAAATAACATGTGAGTGTTATTCAAGAAGGGTGAATGAGAATCCAAAAAAAGAACAGTTGGAAAGAATTAGTTCTGTTTTCTAGAAATGATTTAAAATCATTTCTTAAAGCAAAACATATTCTTATTTAGGAGAGTGGGGGGATAAGAAGTTAGAGTGAAAAAGGCCAGATCATAAAAGTATATACTATAATTACAAACTATGGAGTTAGTTGTGCATTCACAAGTCAAGATAAGTTTTCAGAATGGAAGTGATATTATCAGCATTGTTTTGAGTGGAATGTAGTATTGGCATTGTTCCTCAATGTGGAGCCCTGGGAGCTATGCTTCCATCAAAGTGTCAATAATTTTGATTCTCCTCCTTTTTAAAATTTATGTTTCAACTGTCGCCATTACAACTTCCATTCTTTCATAAGAAGAAAAGAAAATAATTCACATTTAGTTTACTTTTGTCCAAATAAGGAGAAAATTCTCAAGATTTTGTCAACATACATGTCCATTTTCTAGAGGTTACGGCTAGAAGAGATTTCTAGAGCCAAGGTTAGAAGCCCTCACTTCTCCTAAACAAAATCTATTGTTTTTTTTTCCTTAGCTAACATCTTTTTCAGTTGATGGCATGAGATCTGCTTTTTCTAAGTTTCAGGTGATTTTTTCTATTATGATTTTATTTTATTCTTTTTGTTTCCTTTCATTAGATATTAGAAAAGACATTTCTGGCTCCATTTCTTTAACTTTTCCCCAAATTTTTGCTTTTATTTTTAACATAAACCATGTATGACTATTGTAGAGTGAAAAAGTATATAAAGTATCAATGCGGTTTTATATCTAGAATGTTCCAAATTATGAATCTTGAAAAACAAGTGGGAATAGACTACCTTATCAAAAACTCCACACATGGATTCAAGGTAACAACTTGAATTTGAATAGGTAGTGGTAGGGCCTCAATTTCAGTGGAAGTAAGAACATTTATTTAAATCTGAGCATCTGCACATAGTTTAATAATATCCTAACACATCATAGGATGTTGGTTACTGTTTGGGGTACAAGTGGAACATAATCCAGTGCATTCATATGCTTTATATGTGGTAATGGTGCTGCTCAAATATTTGAGGAACAAGCTGGATCAGACTGATCATGGGAGCAAATTTTCAGAACCACAGAAAATATTGGAGAGCACGTATTTTTTAATAAAGAGTCCTTTGGGATTACTCTGCCATGAGACAGATACAGCCATGACCAACTGCAACGGCAGACTCTGGTTCTCTCAAGGCCACAGGGTCTGCTTTCCTCAGAGCAAAGGGGCCTGGCCCATGTGACCATCCTTTGCAGGGTGGAGCCCTGAGTCCCTGGGACAGGCTCGTGTTGACCCTGCTTGTCTTGCCCCTGCGCCTCTCCGCAGGGTTAGGAATCCTGCAGTGCTACAGCTTTGAGCACACTCACTTCGGCCCCTTTGACCTCAGTGCCATGAAGCTCCCCAGCGTCTCCTATTCCTGGACAGGACACCATCCTGTCTTTGGACACTGGGTATCGCGCACCCGGGAGCATGGTGCAGAAGGGCTGCTGGACAGGCCCGCCTACGGGCCAGATGCAGTCCAACCAGGACGCGCGGCCTCCTGACTGCTCGGTGATGCGCGGCTGCGAGACTGACTGTTGCAACGCCGACCTCATGACCCACGACACCGTTCCCAACCTGAGCCAAGTGCCCAACCCACAGATGCTCAGCGGCGCCGTGTGCTGCGCCTGCATGGGGGACCACCCAGAGGACTGCGCCCCCGAGAAGTCCCTACGGGTCCAGTGTCACCAGGACCAGAGTGTCTGTTTCCAGGGCAATGGCAGAATGACAATCGGCAACTTCTCAGTCCCTGTGTACATCAGAACCTGCCACCGGCCTCCTGCACCACCATGAGCACCACCAGACCCTGGACAGACATCGACCTCCAGGGCTCCTGCTGTGAGGGGCACTTCTGCAACAGGGAATCGGTGACCCAGCCCTACACCACCTCTTCGGTCACTGTCCCTCTCTTAGCTTTCCAGGTCATGGTGCTGCTACTCGAGGTTCTTCTGCTGGTCCGGCTTTCCGCATAGACAACCCGTCCAGGAGGCTGGGGGCAGGGTACCTGAACACCCTTCTCCTCCATGCTCTGCCCTATCATGTGGCTTACTGGAAACTGATGTCAAAACAAGAGTTGCACTCCTATCCCTCTGGTCCTCCAGCTCTCTCTTCCTCCTGCTTCCCAACCACTACCCTTCCCCTACCTAGTCAGTAGGCCTGGAAGAAACTGGACACAGCCACTAGCATCCCAGGATAGAGAGAAACAGACACATCCTGCCCCACGTTGTCAGAAGAGCAATTCTGACAACAGTTGTTACTAACTGAGCACCAGCCAGGCACCAGGCAGCCCTCAACCCGGCTTCCTGTGCTCTCCCTCTGGAGCCTAGTCACATCTAAGGTGTTGTCTTTATTGGTATATTATCATTAGAGGCACAAGAAGCAGTATATGCTAACAGTTAGAAGGGCAGACTCTGGAGCTAGGCTGCATGGGCTTTAATCCCAGCTCTCCTGTTCAGCCTCGTGACCATTGGCAAGTTATTTAAGCTCTCTGTGCCTGTGTTTCCTCACCTATAAAGTGGAAGTGAAAATAAACTCTATAATAAAAAGACTTTTTTCCCAGTGGTTGTGGTGAGGATTTAATGAGATGTACATACGGCACCTGGGACACAGCAGTCGCCCAGTGTAAGTGGGCTTTTGTCATAAGCCCCAAGTCACAGATGGACAAAGTGAGAGACAAAGGCCATTGCTTGAGCTCATGCACTTAGTGAATGGAGAACCAGGAATCCGACTCCTAGCCCCGTGAACCCCTGGGCAACCCCACCTCCCAAACACATGAATGTTGATTGATTTGACAGAAAAACATAAGAAGCAAAGCTGAGTCAGGTGAAATTCTCCAACCCATGGAGGTCAGGGAAGACTTCCTAGAGGAAGTAAACCTTCAGCAAAGTCCTAAAGAATAAATAGGAGTTGGTAAAAAGAAGTGGGAGCAAGGGCATTCTAAGTGGAGAAGACAAAAGAAGATGGGGCACACAGGGCACTTACATGAGCATATGAACTTCATATAAATGGAATCCTACAGCATGTCCTCTGTGTACATGTTCACAATGTTCCTTCACATCCTTTCTGCCACTTGATCTTCCCAACAACCCTGTGGGACAAGCAAAGGAGTGAGTTGCATAGTGCTATGGTCTGAACTTTTGTATCCCCTCAAAATTCATGTTTTGAAACCTAATCACTAAGGCGATGGTGCTAGAGCTAGAGCTAGAGCTAGAGGATGGGACTTTTAGGAGGTGATTAGGTCTCGAGGGCAGAGCCCTCATAAGTGGGATTAGTGCCCTTATAAAAGAGGCCCCAGAGAGCTGCCTTGCCCTCCCACCATGTGAGTACACAGCTAGCAGGTGCCATTTATAAACCAGAAAGCTGGTCCTCACCAGGCATCAAATCTGCTGGTTTTCTGATATTGTGGATTTGCCAGCCTCCAGAACTGTGAGAAATAAATTTCTATTGTTTATAAGCCAAAAAAAAGAGATTCTTTTGTGTAAATCTGCTGCGATTTTGAATATCTGAGTTTCTAGGTTGCTAACTAGAGATTAGCAATGACTTTCAGTTCATTCCAAATTCACTGAACTTGGAACTCCACCTTCCAATTGGTAGAAAAATGTTTTAAACAGCCTCACACCTTAATCATTAAGTTCCCGCATATCCACATTTCTACCAAAACCTATGATGAAGTGGAAGAAATGGCATATAGTGTTTAAAACATAGGCTTTAGTTCAAATCCAACATTCAACTTTCTACCAGTCATCTGGGGATAGATACTTGACCTCTCTAAAGCTCATCTTTGTCAGCTCTGAAATGTGTATAATAATAATAGTGTCTATCTTATAGGATAGTTTTGAGCATTAAATGAGAAAATAGATGTAAAATATTAAAAGATAACCAGTGTTTATTAATGTTTAATAAATGATATTCATTATAATCATATGATAATTGTAAATAATATCCTTCCAAGGAACTGGAGCTTAACTGAAAAGAATAAGTATTAACTTGATTAGTTTAATATAGCTAGGCCTGTAAAACTATTGGCCATTCTACTTGAAATCCTTCAACAATAAGGCCAGTATATATCTGCTCCCCATATATTCAGTTGCATGTTTCAATAACCAGATCGGTAAAAGTCTTACATTTCAGATAAAGCCATCAGAATACTTGGCAACAGGTTGTTGGAACTGGGCTAACATCAGCTTCACGTGCCCAAATATCTCAGGGGGATGTATTAATATGAATTAATATGCTGAAACAGGGAAGGAGGGGAATTCATGTAAGTCGTAGTTTAAGATCACTAGGCATGATCTTTCACTAGGCATAACGTCACCCACTTTTCATAATCTAAGCATTTAGAAATGAATTTGGAAAAGAATGTATTACCTTCTAAATGAGCATGTCAGAAAAAAGTCATGCTCTTCTGAAATTGTTCATCTAGGCTGACTTTATGTTAGTATATATTTGGAATGTAATCTAAGTCATAGATAAGCAGCAGGAATGACTTCTCGGATTCTGAGGCTTTGCTACTAGAATGTTCAGTATCTAAATAAATAAATTGATGAGTTTTATTCTGCATGTCACCGCTATGCACAAGAACCAAAAAAAACTCTTTAGCTACATAGTATTCTCAGGATAATATTAATATAATATCAGTGCTAGGATGAGGAGATTATGAAAATGAGTGAGAACTGATCTTGCCACATTTGTGCATTTATTCTTCCATTGACTTTCCTTAAAGCCTCCAGAACTTGTGAATTTATGGATTACAAACACCACTTCTTGCAAAGAGTTTTAAACA